TGGACCCTACTCTGTGACTTTAGAGTCAACACTTAGCTTCCCCAGACTTCATATCTGGGCTGACCACATCTTCAAAATAGTGATGGTGGTGCTCATGTCCAGTCAGAGAAGAGAAAGGAGCACGAGGAGTAATAATAACCACTGTCATCACTTATTGCGGGTTAACTGGGTACCGAGATTGTGCTCAGTATTTCATATGCACAATTTTATTTAATTCTTCCAAAACATCTATGCAGTAGACCCTATTATTATTCAACCCATTTCACAGAACGTCATATTAGAGAGTGTCAGAGAAAGGATTTGAGCCCGCTTTGTCTGACCTCAAGACAGAGACTCCTACCCAGTCACTAAGCTTATAGCATATCAACTAGACTCTTTGATGTGTTTCTTCTATCGCCCCTTCCCCCGCCCTCGCCTCCCCATGCTGAGCAGCTGCCTCTTTGCAGATGAGACAAAGAGCTTGCTCCTTTTCATCCAGCATAAAGAGAGTGCCTATCACTCTTCCTGTGTCAGAAGGTAATGAACACGCGCTTTCCCCCCATGCAGCCTGATTTACGGTGGAGGGGAGCCCACCGTCACATGCGCCTGCAATTAGACCCAGCAAGATTCACCAAGGCAAGCAGTACAGTCCAGAGCGCCAGAGCATAAAGGAAAAAACAAAAACAGAACAACAACTCGAATTCTGCAATTGTCTCATGAGGTAGCAATGGAGCCAGAAGAATCTCTAGGAGAGAGAAAAGCACTCATTGCTTTTTCCCTGGCCTAAGTCACAGAGGGATGAAAAATGAAGGTGTGGCTGTCTGGAATTCCTCAGAAGTGAATCACAAGTGGTCGTTAGATCTTTTATTTTATTCTTTTTCAAGGTAATCAGTGATTCAGTGCAGGGGGCATGGTCTCGGTGATTAGAGGCCAGAGAAATAGCCCAGCAAGGAGCTCACTTCGAACAAAAACCAGTGACTCACCACTTGAGTCTTCAGGCCACAATTTCTCCTGTCTGGACAAGGAGGAAAATCATTTCATGTTTGCGGTGGAAATGTATTGTGCTGGGAGTCAAGGCTTCTCTCGTTGGAGGGAACATTTCTAAAATATGTTGGTTCTCCTTTTTGGATTCCAGGCAGCCCGACTGGGTGTACAATGGGCTGAACTTCTGAAACTGTCTCTGAGCATCCCCATTCCATCCACAGGGGTGGCGGCTGGGAGTGGAGATGCTCAGGCCAAGGTCTTCTCCACACCTGGATTCTGCCTGGTTTGCCGCCTTCTCTCTGCACCTGCAAACTCACGTCTTGGCAGAGAACTAGATCCTGAGACTCTTCAAGCTTCAATCTACCCAAGTGCAAAAGGAGGTTAGTAACAACACCTCTATCACAGAGTCAATAAAAGGATTAAACAACAGTGTGATAACGGCTAACGTTTCCTAGTGTTTACTCTGTGCTAGGCTCTATGCTGAGAGCTTTACCCATCTTAACTCCTCTAATACCCACAACAACCCTATGAGAGAGGAACATTTTTAGCTGTATTCCATCCATACTAAGATGTACATTTTCACATCTCTGAAACTGGGGCACATCTCATAATGGAAACAGGTCATAGTTTAATCAGTAGCATTTTCTTTCTTAGTGGAAAAAAATTGTGACGCATCTTGAAATGGAAGGCTTCTTAGACAAAATATGGTGTGCCCGTTTCACAGATGAGGAAACTGAGGCACAGAGAGGAACTGATTTGCTCGAGGCCTCACACCCAGTTAAGTGGCAGAATTGGGGTTCGAACCCACATAGTTTACTGAAGAATCCGCTCTTTTAATCACTAAGCCAGAATATGAGCGGAACACCCAGTATGATTCCCAGCTCTCAGGATCTGCTCCAATTAGGGACGCTTCCTCTCTCTCTCTGGGTTTTTAATGACAGCGAGGTAGAAACTTCGGGCACCCAGAGACAGAGCTTGTATAAACGATTCCATAGCTCTACAGTTTTTGCCAAACGCCATTTCTACATTTCCATTCTAGAACACGGAGGGGAGTGCACTAAGTACCCTTCTTCTTTTAGCCTTTTCCAACAAAGAAAATGAGGGTGCATGGTATCTATACATGCTCTGCTCCCTCCCTCCCCCGTGGCTAATGCAATGATGCTTCTCTTTTGCTTTCTCCGGAAATAAAGGGAAAAAGAACTCCCTAAACAGATTAGGGAGCCCGACATAGGGCGAGCTAGAAAGTTTCTTCAACAAAAGATGTTCAAGCAGAGGATTTGCATGTATTATTCATATTCCTTCTGTTGAAAAAAACTACAGGAAGATGTTGTACCAGGCAGGGTGCCATTGTAACATTAGTTACAATATAGCAACTTCCATCCCTGTGAGAAGGAGAACGACTGGGTTCAGAGGGCTTCAGGACGCATTCGGGGCTTTCCCCGGGGGTCGCCCATTACCCCAGCGCACAGTGGACTCAGGGTAAGTGGTATTGCCTTGGAGCCCAGCGACGCCTCACCTTCCTCCTCTGGGAAGCCAGATTTTCCCTCAGATCAGTTCCCACTGGACACTTGCCTGGCTGTCTGGTATTTATTATTCTCTTTTTATGCATCATTCCCCCCTCCCCAAAACAAACCTGAAAATGATCTGAAGCTAGAGATTGTGCCTCAAGCCTTCTTTTAGTATCCCCCGCGTCACGTGTTAACCACTGTCACTGCTTGATTAGCATGGCGAGGCAGACAGGGCTTGACCTCCGGAGCCAGACAGATACGAGTTCAAATCCCTGCTCTGTTCCTTGCCAGCTGAGTGTCCTTGGGGAAGGGACCTCTCCTTGCTGAACCTCAGTGTTGCCGTCTATCTCAAGAGGAGGTGACAGTTCACACCTTGAGGTGTTGTAAATGGTTCTGAAATATCACCTGTAAAGACTTCAGCTCAGAACCCAGCACGTGATGAGTACTTGATACCTGCCAGTTATCGTCGTTATTATCATCACTGCGATTATTATTGGTTTAATTTACACCACAAGTTGATATTAATCCCTGCATCTTTTCTTGTGGCTTGTCACTTTCTGATTAGCCTGGTTTAGGTTGATCAACGCTTTACGGTAGCTCTAAAAAGTTGAAATTTCTAAAGGCACAATCCTTCAGGTGTGAACCAGGGACACCCTGAGGTTTTCATGATTTCCTGGAAAGTGGGGTGAGGGCAGCAGGATCCCAATGAGTCTTTTGTGCCTGGGGTCTTATTTCCCTGGAAGCCTTCTTTCCTTCTCTTGACTTCCCTGGAAGCCACCTTCCCATCATCCCAACCTCTGTATCTTCCTCTACTTTCTTCCTTTCTATCCCAGGATGGAAAACTCTGTTGCGTTTACTTGGGTACATGGCTTCTTTCCTCCCCAAATCCGACACACAGACAAAGACACACACACACACGAGTCTGAATTAGCTGTCGCTTCTCTGTGTTCCCACAACACCCAATGATACTTCCCCAGCACATTCATCACCCTGCATTGTAATTATCTATTTCTTACCTCGTTCCCTCCTGATCCAAAACATACACGCTATAGATGGTGAAATTTTGAAAGGCAGGTCTCATTTGTTACAAGAGCAGGTGTTTAGTACATAACAGGACTTCCATAATGTGCTAAATGAATAACAATATAACTAAAATCTAGGGAGTGCTCACGTGTGTCAAGAACTATTCTAGGATCTTGGTACGAATCATTTAATGCTCTCAGCCATCCCATGAGGAGGCACTCTGGTGTGCCCATTTTACAGCTGGCAATACTGAAGCAGAGCAATTCCAGAACTTGTCCAAGGTCATAGGGCTGCCAAGAGATGGACGCAGGGTTGAAACCCAGGCTATTTGGGTCCACCACCCATGCTCTCACACTCACCTCTGCTTCCGAACAGTCCACCTCACTCTTCATCCGTCCCTCCTTCCCTTCCCCCACTGCTATGCTGGCAAGTTCAATCTCAGAGGGGGCTGCTCTGGATGGAACCCACATCTGTGTAGCATTTTGAGGTGATAGGAGACACATGAAGACTGCATCTTGCAGAGTGAGCTCGCTAAGAGGGCTGAGCAATGAGGGATGCATAAAGATGTGTTAATCCTTAGAAAACAGAAGCTCACAAACACTTCGGACTACCACGGAATCATGGGTGAGGCGTAAGCTCTCTTTTGTGCATTGACTCCCCCCTCGTCCTTCCTGGGCCAGGACTCTGAGCCATCTGTGGGCGGACACAGTGGGCCGGTGCCGCCTCTGACCCTCTCTCCCACTCACTGCTCGCCTACCTTGGCCAATCAGTGGTGCTATAGGGGCTAGGGGCTACAATAACAAAGACACACTTAGCAATGACATAATTGGCCTACCCAGTTATGATTATTTAAGAACAGAAACTCTTGACTCCAGTCATTAAATACATACCAATGATTTTTTTCTCTTTCAAATCAACAACAGTATTTCATGTTGTATATACACACTATGAAGTGTTCACACCACGCTAAACAATTTCCATATCTTTCTTCACTTAGTCCTCACACTGTTTCTGCCTAGCTGACGCTCCTGTTCTCACTCCGCAGACATGAGGGAATGAAGACTCAGGGATGCTAAGCAACTTGTCTAACGTCAATCACTGGTGCGTAGCAAAGTCAGACTCCAAAACCAAAAGTGTGACACTCTGCTGTTTCTGTGTAAGAGAGAGACTGTGCACGTACCCTGAGCCCAGAGGATCTCTGAAAATAATTTTGGCGACAGCAAACCTACAATTCATCTTAATTTTGTTCTGGTGGTCTACAGTGTCACTGCCGATTTATTCCATCATTTTGGAATTACTGGCTAATAGGGTGGCCCAGCTCACCGTTCTGGCTGGCATTTTCATTCTTTACGAGAAACTAACCACTGATAGCAAAAGGGATGTGTCTCGACAATTTAATTACATCATGACTCTTCTCTTTCCCTGTTCCTTGTTGGTCTGGAAGCTAATTCCTGCTTCACCTGATCTGGAAAACATGATTGGTTTCAGCCGAGAGAGGAGACTTACCGGTGTTAGATGGTCTGAGGCAAAAAACGGCCAGAGGCCACCCAAGTTGGAGGAACTCTGAATCTTCTTGGTGGCCGGTATCTTGGTCATCTTGGAAACCCTTCAGTCTTAGCCGGTGTTCCCAAGGGAAGGGGTTTTCCGGATTCTTCTACTTCAGCAGCCACTGGTGTGAGAGGCACCAATTTCTCCCTGTCTCCCAAGTGCCAATTACACAGACTCCAAAGAGGTCTCTGGCCCAGGAGTAATGGGAAAGCAACTCATCAGGGTTTCCCACCAACAGGATAAGGAGGTCCGGATGGGGTGGAATCAGGTAAGCCTGAAGTTATTCATTTTTCAGAAAGTTAGAAACTTTTATGAGCTTTCCCCTCTTTGGAAGAGGATATCTTCCTCATCTATAAACAAAAATAAAATACGAACTGAAAAAATAGAACTCCACGGATAAAATATGAGGGGGGCCCATGGACGGGCCCCCAGATCCTCATCCTAAGGCGATCCCAGCTTGAGGCTCAGGTTCCCCCTGAGAGGGAGCGACAGCAGCAGCTAACTGTCAGGCTGGGGCCCACTCGGTTGCCTGGCAACGAGACGCCATGGGAGGCTTCCTCATTGGCTGGGATTGGTGGGGGCGGGGTCGCGAACTCCGCGAGGTTGCTCGGATGGAGGCTGGGAGCAGGCAGCTGGCCAGGGAACCACATTCTCCGAACTCTGGTTTTTCCTCTCAGGCTTGAGGACCTCAACCATTTCCGCCTAACTACAAGACACTTCTTCCTTTCAAACTCTGCTCTGTCCTGCCATTAACCCACTAGTCATTTCTTGTGTCTTGGGTTGGGTAGCTCAATGTGTGCCTTTTGCCCAGCAATTATCTTAACCTGAGACACTTATTTCTCTCCTTTTTCCCTCTGACGAACTCCTACTCCTCCTTCAAAGCCTACACACACACACACACACACACACACACATATGTATGTATATGTGTGTGATATTTATTGACTGCTTAGAATGTGCTAGATATGGCTCTAAGTGTTGTCCACATATTAACTCAATCCTGAATCCTTACAGAATGTCTTTAAGGAGGGTATTTTATGACCCTATTTTACAGACTAGGAAACTGACACACCGAGAGATTGAATGACGTGCTTAAGGTCACACAGAAAGTGCCTGAGCTGGGATTCAAAGCCAGACCTGTTTGATTCTAGAACCCACACTCTTCCCCACTAAGCTGCATGACCTGGGATAAGATGCCGAACTTTGCTGAGCCTTGGTTTCCAAATGTTTAAAATGGGGAAAATAACTACCACAGGTTGTCAAAGATTGAAACAGACAATGTATGTAAAGGCTGAGCACATGAGAAGTCCTAGTTAAGTGGCAAGGATTATTATTATTTCCTGACACCCCATCCCCAGGAAGAATTAGTCTTTCTTACAGTGTGGTGTTCATTTCATGGCAGATATTACTACTAACCAATATTTATTGATCACCTGTGCTGTGCCAGGTGCTCTCCTAAGCACTTTACGTACATTAATTTATTTAATCCTTCCAATAACACTATGGGGTAGAGTGCCAGCTTGTAGCAGATTTACTGCACACCTTCTGATTTGCATGCTTTATCCTTGGCATTATTTCACACTGAATCAATCTAACTCATGTTTTATCTCTAAACCTTGAGCTGCTGAGCATGATGATGTCATCATGGCCACACGATGACCTCACCTTCTCTTTAGAAGGCATCTGCTGCAAGATGACACGCCACAGAATGCAAAATGCCCAGCCACGCAGCTCCAGATGCTGACATCTGGAAGTCATTATTTTCTTGCCATTGTCTGGAGCCTGAGTCTGACCTTCCCCGTCATGGGAGGTGTTGGTCCTCCTACTTCCTTTGTGGAAGCATTAAGCAATCAGCAAGTGCTTTCAGAAGGATGCAGATAAACTGCACTGTGTTCAGAGGATGCGGCTGGGGATGAAAGAAGATGAGAAAACAAGACAGAATGGGCCATGTTCAGCCCCGAGCAGAACAGACAAAGGGCTGTCTTCACGTGGCTTTGAGGGACAGGCTTGGTGAAGAAGGACTCAACCTGTTCTGTATGAGCCCAAAGAATAGGAGGAGAGTTTTGGCTCAAAATGATGAAATACACCAGGATATCATTTTAAAAGGCATGAGCTCTGGAGTCTGGTTTGGGCACTGAGCAGCCTCAATGATAATCTCATAGGACAAAGATGAAAACCAAATGAGTAAGCCATATGAAGTGCAATGCCTAGCACAAAAGAAGTGCTCAATATATGGTAGCTCTTATTTCTTTTGGTATTAATACCCACCTGTCAGAACCATGTGAGAACTGGAAGTAGAAAGGGCTCAGAATCAAAAAGGTCTGTGTTCAAATCCTGGCTCTGCCATTCATTGGTAGTGAGATCTTGGTCAAGTCGCTTCACCTCTCCAAGCCCAATTTCATCATGTATATAAATAATGATGGTTGTGCCCTCCTTATACAGTTGGGAGGACCAAGTGAAATGATGAATGTATAGAGTCTGGTACCCAGTAAGCGCTCGATGCATGCTATTTCCCTTCCTTGTTCATGAAGGGCTAGTCCCGTAGGGATGGAATGGGCTCCCCAGCATTACAGGTATTCAGCCAAATGCTATATGGCCTCTTGATGGGTGGGGGTGGCTCAAATGATCATTTGGGGTGTTAGACTAGATGACACTTAAGGCTCTTTCCAAACAGAGCTTGAGAGACAATATGGAATGTTAGTTAAGCCACTGTTTAAAACCCAAGTGTGACACTTAACAGCTGTGTGACCCAAAGTAAGTAACTTGTCCTCTTAAAGCTTTAGGGTGCTTATTCCAGAAAAGGGATAATAGTACATACATCCAAATGACATAATGTACATAAAACTTTTAACACAATACCTGCCACATAATAAATGCTGAATAAATAAATGTTAGCTAGTGTGATTTTATGGAGCATATGAACCAAAATATTTTCTAGGGTGATCCGGTACTCGTTCACGTCAGCTAAAGTTAATAAGAAAAAACTCCCAGGCCTCATGATGTCTCCCAATCTAGCTAGATGGAGAAAACTTACACACACACACTCACAAAATGAAAGAGTACACAAAAAGGAATATCACTGAGATCTCCCAAGAAGAAGATGCCAGAATAGGTTAGATATGCAAGAGGTTTATTGGGGGAAAAGCTTAAGCAAGAGCAGGCATGGAGAGTCTGTTGAAGGAGAGAGGGAAGGAAAGATTGGGTAGGAAGAGCCACACACTGAGACACAGTTCTGAGAAAGTGTCAGCCAGCCTTATTGGGAGCCCCTGAGCCAAAGTTACCTGTTAGATGAATCCCCATTGGGCAGGAAAGACTTGGTTCTAGCACTCCCACCCTGCTCAGTGATTGAGTGGGAGCATCAGCGAGTGGGAGTGGGGAAGCATGCAGTGGATACAAAGATACAGCACCTGTCAGGGAACTCTGCTCCCTGCAGCATTCTCCTGATGGGACATCTGAGTGGACACCTCCATGGTCATTACAGGCCACCTGGTGTGCTGCACAGATCCTCTGAAGGATACATGTCCGAGGAGCAGCTCCTTTCATGGTTCCTGTGGGCCTTTCTTCCTGAGGGAAAACTTAGAAAAGGGAGATTAGTGGGACAAACTACCGCCCCCTTCGCTGTACTTAGTCTCAGGGTTGCAGCTGGTGTTATCCTCTTCCTTCTGCACTATCCATTCTGAATTCCCCTCAATGTCCGCGCCTCCCTCTGCGGGTCCTCATGGCCTAGCTGGTGGTGTGACTAAAATCTTCTCTCCTGAGGGTTCTGAGCCCGGAAGTAGATATACTCTCCTTAATGTCCCAAGGTGGTTGTGTATGCCCATCACCAGTTAAAGTTGAGCAAATGAGCACTAATAGGAACCCAAGCGGATTACCCTGGCTCTGCACACATTCCTCCCTGCTCCTGTGGTGTAATCCCTGATCAGGGTCCGTTAATTCTGCCAAATGGTGACTTCCTCTTCTGGCCTGCTAGTTCCTAGACACGAGGAGTCCAAAGTGCCCATGGAAACTGTCAATACAGTATCGCTAATCTTCAATACAATCCATGCAGTGTCTCAGCACAAGAGTGTCATCTTTAAGAACTAAGACTTTTAACCCCGCAGAGCCCGGAATTGCAGCAATGGGAAGGACACTTACCCTCAGTGAGTCATTGGGTGTGACAGGCAGTGTGACCACTCCTGTTTCCACTCCTTGGTTCCTGGATCCATGAATTGGTCCTATCGGACCCATAAAGGACCTTCTTCTACAGGAACTGAAAGACATGAAGTAACAGGCGCTCTCTCCTCCCAATTTGCCAGAAAGAAAGTTATGTGACGGGATTAAAGATAGAGGTATCAAGTAGAAGAAAAATTTGGGAATGTGTCGGACGCCAGCTGGGGCAGCTGAAGTGAAATCTCAAAATCTGATAAACGCTCGAATTTCGGTCAGTCACACATATGTTTGGCATTAAAAAACTTATTGGAAAAGTCATCATTTTCGGAGTATCTTTAATATACTTTTCCGTGTTGCATCTAGCACCCAGAGAATTCCTTTGGGCATTTTTACTGAAATGTCAGCACTGGATTTACAAATTATGGGGCCCAGGGCAAGAGTAAAATTTGGGGCTCCCTTGATGCCTGGTAGCTGGCAATCTATTGACGAATTGCTGCCAGGATGAAATACCACTGGATAATGTGTATTTGCACCACCTCTATGGACCCCTGTGCTTCACTGAAGAAGGACGAGTGCTTGCCACATTGCCCCTTGGGGGCTCCGTGGCCCTATATGCCATTCCTACCATATCCTCCATACTGCACCCCAAGAAGGGGAGGGGAACTCGGGTGTTTGTAAATGAGGAGAAGAAAATGCAATGTGAACCTCTCTCTCTCCTTTCTCTCTTTGCTTTGGTCCACCAGGCCTGGTAGCCGAGGAAGGAGTGTGACCTCCAGGAATATTCTTAGTGAATTTCCCCCACTGGAGGCGTAGGGTATGGTCTAAGTTACCTCCATGGATGATGCTTTTTACTTTTACATGCTTCATCTCCCAGCATCCTGGGCCGTGGAACAGTGTGGAATTATGGAATTGTCAATCTCATTTTACAAAGGTAGAAAATGGAGCTCTTGGATTCAGTGCTCTGTTAGCAGTAGAGGTTGTCTGAGAACCCAGATTTTATGGTTCCAAATTCAGCGATTTATTTCAGCACTCTTCACACTGTCTTGATGCTCTTTCACTTAAACGCGTGTATGTGTGTGTGTGTTCAGTTCAGCAGAACAACCTGGGATTATCTCTGCAAACTCTGTCAAGACACTTGGGATTTCCAGGCCACCTGGAAGACTTGAACTTCTCCAGCCTTCTGGGGAAGCCTTTGCTTTAACATCCACAAAAGACATCTCAAACCCCATCCCATGTAGGAAAACATGCCCTGAGGCATTCCCACAGGTTTCCCGGTAGCTTGCAATTTCCCATTCAGTACACATCCTAGCCTGCTTCCTACCTGTAGTGCGTAGAATTGTGTCCCCCCCAAAAGATTGTGTTCAAATCCTA